ACTGTACTTTCCCAGTCTCTAACAATCGAAGCAAACGCAGGAGAGCCAAATATTAAGCAGAATAGACAGAAATAGGTCGCGAAACGACTATACTGTGATGAAATGCGAAAGCGGTAACGGAATGTGGAAGTCGGAGGTTTCATACGGTCCACTTGGTAGAGCTGATAAACTATCGATTGCACTATCGATACATCGAATGTTTTTTTGCGTTACTATCGATGGTTTTTTATCCGCTATCGATAGTATAGAGCTTTTTTATTACGTACACATCAGAAAAAATTACAAGAAAATAAGAATAGATTAAGTGGTTATGTTTAGCCTTTAAGTGCATTTTTTTGGTTTTGTTTTTCTTTTGTTTTCTTGCTCTAACTACTTCACCGCCATGAACGATACTATCGATAGTATTGAATTTTCCTCTCTAAACATCGAAAGGAGCCACTATCGGTAGCTTGTCAGCTCTACCACTTGCGCTACTCCAACGTCCGTTAACAAATAAAAACTTAACTTAACTTAGCTTAATTTATTTCCTTTTAGTTTAAATATTTTATCTTATTTAATTTAATTTTAAATCCTCTTTTCTTGTATTGTATTCTATTTTGTTTTATTTGATTTTATACTTTTGTAATGTAATTTTATTTTAGTTTTATGCATGTTTTCACCGTTCGTGAATTTTCTCAAGTCTTATTTGAAGCCGTCAGCTGGATGAGAAGAAAAAATATATAGAAGGGCATAAAACTTTGCACACATAATTTGAAGAAGGAGGTGTGTATATACTGGAATCCTCAGTGCATGAATTTATTAAAGTATCTCCAGATTTGGGTTAAAATTTCTACCATCGGAATCAAAGGAACGCTCTTTGAATATTGGGTAGTAATACATAATTTGTGCCATCCCATCCTCTGCCCTCAAATCACGTACTCTATTCTGGATGGTTTTCATTGAAGATCGTTTTAATGAGCCTAACTAAAGTGACCTCAACTTTTTCAAGTGACTTGGGAATGATTATTCGAGCACATTTTTTTAAATCCCGCCGTCTGTCCATTGAGCCAGGTGTCAAATGCCACAGCGACAACTAAGTACCAGCTCTCTATTGAAGACGCAAATACATACATATGCACTTCGTCCGCGAACTCATTTACAATTCAAACAAATTAACTACTTTTTAGAAAATTATATATCTACATAGTTACTATCAAAAAATAAAAAGTCAGTAGCCTTTGGGAGATCATATATTTCGCATTCACAGTGGCGGATTTGGTCAAAGACCCCACTCCATCATATAAAATCAAATTAAAAACTATCACCACTCCCGCTTGGACCACGGAATGCGGTGAGGCTTCGGGAACAAAAAAAAATTGGGGCTTGTCGACGTGGAGCGTTTTGATATATATGTATTTATGTACTATTTTTTGCCTAGCTGAAGCCCATTTGTTAATATGTATATCTCTTCGTTGTGATCAAAACTTTGAATCGCGCGCTTCTTTATCTGCTGTTTTATTTAACTAGTTTTAATTTACTCTTAACTCAAATGCGCACCCTTGAACATAATTAATGTGTATTTTACTGATAAAATTTTAATTTCAATTACAAACGCATGCAGAGTTGTTAGTAAGCTCAATGATTTTGAAAATAAATATACGTTAGTGTATTAAATGTTAATTTTGATACATAAATTTAGCAGGAACAAATATTTTCTACCAATAATTTCTACCAATTCCAAGCAATTAAAGAAAATGCCCAAATAATTATTATGATAAAATTATCTATTTGATTACAAAGTAAAAGCATAAATAAATAAATGCATTTTTATATCATCTTCTCTAGCTTTTTGTGTTTGGGGGGATGGCGGTCATGGGATTGCGATCGTTCAATGAAGTGCTGTGACTCATCAAAGTTATCAAATTGCCATTAACTAGTACCGGATGTTATGAGTCCTTCACATTTAGACAAGTTATTGCGAAGAGTTTGGCCCTTTTTTGAAGAGGTGAAAGACATATGGCTATGTTTAGCGAAGATTTGCGTTGGTTTCTCCTTGATGCCATTTTTAATTAGATATGGGTCTGGCACGAGGTCGAGCGTGCATTGGCATGCGGTGAAAATCCAAAAAAGCACGGAAAGCTCATATAAATTATAAGGGTGAAAAAAGACGAAATTTATGTTGAGATTAAGATATTTCTTAGAAACCACTTCGCGTCCTGAATTAGCCAGGTTTAGGGTTTTGCCAAGTGTCAAATGACTTTAAATTCTTACAAGTTTTCCGTAGCTAAGAATATGTACAAATCGGTATGTAGCTAATAATATGCACAAATGGCGTACCCAAGTGTACCAGAAAAAATTTACGTCAGCTTTTTGTCCAAACTCCATTATTTTGTTACTAGTAACCATTGTGTAAAAGAATTTTGTTCTACCGTGGTTTGTTGTTGAGTTATACGACTTTAAACATGCAAATTTAAGCCCTTTTTCTTAGAGTCACAAGTCATCAAAATCAAAAATTTCCGACCTATTAGAACTTTTTTGGTGCTTTTTGGTGGAAACTATAATACTTTCCAAAAGAAGTTTTTCAAACAAATTTGCTTTGGAAATACGTTTAATGCATTCTTTAAACAGGGGCGCGTTGTGTTTATTTTTGTAGTCAAGCCTGGTTAAACTAACAGACAAGATGGTATTTGATTTTTAGAAATTAAGTTAAAATGTTTAAATGTTAATACCACAAAAATAAACACAACGCTCCCCTAATGATGCTAATAAATTTAGAGAAACGTTGGGATGTAATAGTGGAATAAATTTTGTTTTATTTGCACTAGAGTTAATTAGATCGGACTAGCCTATCAAGAAATTTTACGAGAGAAATGTACATTGCTTAAAGAATGCAATACAATTTTTAGTCGGATTTTTTTTTTGCAAAAAATTCTAGTTTCCACCAAAAAACATGGAAAAAGTTCTAAGAGGTCAGAAATTTTACATTTTTATGACTTGTGTCTCTAAGAAAAAGAGCGGGAATTTGCAAGTTTAAACTCGACAAAAAATTGCGGTAGAAAAAAAATTTGTTTACACATTGATTGCTAATAACCATAGTAACAACGTAGGAAGGTGTTTGATATATAGAAGATTGTTGTAACCCCTTGAACGAGGGAGCAGGTACATATTTTCGTTGGCGGGTAAAATACTTAACAAAAGATGAAATAGGCGTATATTTATAATACTCTAACTTATTTAGACAATTTTTCGGGTTTGTAAAAACATAAAATTCAGGTCATACGACTGCTAAATTTTTTCGTTGGAGATAATATTTTGTGAATCAGATAAATCATAAGTGGTATTCATCTAAACCGATAACTGTCAAGCAGATATCTTATAAACTTATACACTCTGTTACATGAACGCCCCATACTCTCCATTCGTTTACACTTGGGACAATAGTCGTGTTTTCTTTATTTGTCGAGCTCAGTATCAATAATTTTATACTACTAGCACGAGGATTAAGAAATTTTAGAAATTACCTCACTAAATGGGAAAAAATTATATTTAGACGATTTAAATAAATACTTAACATAAAGGCGATTTATTTGAAGCCAGTTAATAGAAACAATGGCAAAATGTCTGTTTGTGTATGAATTCATTTCTCACTGCAACCAAACTGTGGGGCCAAATTATCAGTGAAACAAAACAAACAGAACGGATAATAAATTGACCCAGATCTCTATCAGGGTCAAAACATTGTTGTTGAATTTGCGTGCAAAATTTTTATGCGGATCCCGATTATTGCCCAAGAAAACATAGCTAGAGTTGCGACAGAGTTGCATTGGCTTCGGTTCATCAAGTTTATTCAGTGAAATCGCTGGAGAAATTTATCAGAAATGTGTAAACGAGTTTCCATACAAATTTTGACAGGTAATTTTTAAGGTGTACACAATTAAAAGTTTATACGGTTCATAATGCATTTATAACATTTGATGAATACCCTTATTTTATAATTTATTTCACTGACTTTTTCTCTATGCGTGTTCGTGTGGGTTTTCGAATGTGATTTTGCTTTCGTGCCAGGCCGGGCCGAAAAAATTAGTCCCGCGCCCATATCAAGTACATATGTATATTGAATTTCAGCATAGTTCAACTTATGCTATATGCTCCGCGCCAAAGCGAAGAAAGAGGGCTGGCTGTAGTTATATGTGGCGTCATCTATAATTCGATCCACTCAGGTCATTGATGAGGCGGTGGTTAATGTATCGGATACCTTTCGTGCCTGTTTGGCCGCCACGTTCATTTGTAGCCTAGTGGAATAAGAAGCTTCAGAAGTTGAGGAGCAATTTGAAAAAATCATTAAACCGGGCCCTGAAAACTAATGCTGGGAGACTGGAAGGCTAACGCTATACTCAAAGGATGTTCGTTCTTCGTAAAAGGTTCTATTCAAAGTATACTGCAGTGGTATTGATACCTTGGGCCAAACAGCTGGTGAATGTCTTAAAAAAATACCAAAAAACTAAGCTTCGTGCACTCGAGAGGCTTGATGGATCACTCACGGAGACAAGGAGTGAGACTCTTTCAAAGCAATAGAAATGCATTTGTTAAAGTTAGAGTATTTTTTCAGACAGACAGAGAGAAAGAGATATTGTCTTGTCGTCTTTAGACTAAAAATCCCACTGCGTTTGAAGATACCAGACGTAAGCATACGAGTACGAATGAATACAAATTTAACATATAGTTACTGGAAAACATATCCACTTGCTAATACAATACTCTTCGTTATATTGTGCGTTATCATACCGCTAGGTTATTTTTAAAGAAGTATGTATTAAATGCTTTGCTAAATAAACAAAAAAACTGAACTAAAATTATGAAGAAAATAGTTAGTTAAACGAATGTCAATTATAAAGTATGTAAGTAGATAGTATTAATTAGGTGCAAGTGAAATTAGTGGAAAAAATAAAAAAAAAAATTATACATATGTATATTTTTTTTGGGGGGGTTTGACATATAAAATTTAACTGTTATAGCAATACCTCCCGAATCCGCGGGCGATCGGTCTTTTTTGCGCTTTTTCTTTTTCGAAACATAACCGTAGTTGTCCCGGGCGCTCCACCCTGGATATAATTCCATGTGCAACTGTCGCTCTTGCCGCGCTTTTTCGTAATATTTACTTTGTTCCTCACGGCTAAGCTCATGCCACTAGATACAGAATTTGAGATCACGGCGATTGGGCGAAGATACATGGTAGTAGTATGTGGTTATTTATGGTGTTAGATGTGATAAGTGTGGATCCAACCAAAGCCAAATGTCGTCGAATTCGTTTGAAACGGAAAATAAAAACAAAAAAGGGAACAAAAAAAAACTTTTCAATTTTGATATTTGATATTTCATGTGCCTGTTGAATTTCGAAAATCAAGTTGAATGAATAAATTGTTGATTTCAGTAAAAAAAAAAAAACAAATTTTCATACTTGAACGTGAACAACGCTTCCGCAAGTTGTTTACGCGAATGAGAGTGTGCGCGTGTTTGTGTGTTTCATGAGCTCTAGCCGTACTAAACGCTTGCTTTCCCTACGTAAGTAGGCTTTTTTTCTGGGGGCTGTTAAGTGCTAGCTAATCAATATATTTAATTTACAGCATATGAAAATTCCTTCGCTTTTAATTTAAAAAAAAGTATACATATTTTCCAATTGTTTTCAATGTTATATAGTCCAATGAAAATAAAAGAAAAAACAAAGTTGCAAAACAAAACGTCTATTTTATTGACTTTCATACAAAATACAAATTGGAATACAAAAATACATTAAATGAAGAAATAACTTTCGGCATTTTTTACGATTTACAAATAGGGTGCAGCCTTCGGTTACACTGTAGAACAATTATAAGATTTTGTTTTAGAGCCTCATCGTAATAATTCCCAAACGTTAATATCCGTAGTCAAACCCCGAAATAAAGGTATTTTTTCAAATAAATTTTTTTACTTACATATGCGTAACTTACCCATACCATCATTTAGATAAAATATTAACGGATTTAGGATATTATTTAATTGAACAAGTTCGTTTTCTTGACTGGAGCTGTGACTGGATTTTAACCCATTCCAAAGGACTTTCTCGTCCTCAGCTGCCGCTAATGCGTTTCGAATTTAATTTTTTTGGGCAGGCGAGTTTACCATGATTCGTATTACATGACGAAAGCAACGAGGCCGGGGTAGTTTCAACCATGCAATTATGTGTATGCAAATCTTGTACAGCTATTGTCAATTCGACCGAAACACTTCTACAGAAACTCCTAGGTCCATGCGCTTGTTATTGGGACAGAAATGAATAAGTCTCATTCTTATGAGATTTTGTTCGATGAGGGAAGACTTTCCTTTTGAATTGCCTACTAACTCCAAATTCTCCGTTGAAGGCTGACATTATTGTTAATCTAAGTCCTCTACTTTGCGAAATCGAAAACGTCAATAGCGACGTGAGTGCCGAAACGCGAGTACGCTTACTGTGTGCTTGAAGGCAGAAGATACTTTGTCTTTTCGTCCTTGAAGATTGAGGTGGGAAGTTTAGTGTTTTCGAATCCTAACATTCCAAGCGCATAACCTTAAGATATAGCCATATACATAGGTGATGTCACCCAAGGTATATTGTTCTTTTCCAGTGGAACAAACGGGTTTCAAACCAGTCGTACAATACGAACTTTGAGCACAATTTTCCCGCAGTTTTGGGAATTTAATAAAAATAGGAAGACATCAGAATTACAACTTGTTCAAAGATAGACGATTAAATAAAAACTCTTAGGTCTGGTGCGAAACAACCTAGCGACAGTTTTTATTCGATTTTATGAGGGTCATTTTAATTATTGATATTCTCTGTTCAAAAATTAACGTTTGCAAAAGGACGTACTTTATCTAGAAAAAATTATAAAGGACAGATCTCTCTGCCGAAAATCGTTTATAGCAAATCACCCAGGGATAAAATGAAGGACTTTCTGTAAAGGACTGAAAACGAAATGACAGATGGTCACCGTAGCTATAGGTCTTTATTTAAATTTGGGGTAGTGCTATTTTTAAATTAAAATTCTTCATGAAAGGACAAAGTTAAATGGAGACAAAATTTTACAATAAAAATGCACGCTAAATTTGACTACATACAAACTCTGAAGACAAGAACCGATTTATATTGTACATTTCTTCTTAATTTACACTCATATGACTTTAAAATGGTGATTCCTTATGTTTAGATAAAGACCCATAGCAAACTAATGCTTAATCGGATATATAGTGCATCCCCTCTTACTGTCATTTTCAAGAACTTACATGGACGTCCCACCAAATAAGATACAAAAATACGCTATGAGTTACTTAAGTTATTCGAAAAATTGCTTCCTAAATTTTTAAATAGGTCTTTGAAGAATTAATTATCTTTGAAGACAGCATATATAAAAAGGGGAAACTTTAACCCACTGTAGAAAAAATGTTAGAGGCGAAACAAAATACTTTTGAGGTTTACATACCACGAATTAATACTTAATGCCGGCACAGTACACACGAACTTCTAAAACAAATCCAAAAAATTGTACCACAGTGTATGTATTTCTCTCGGAATTGCAAATAGGGCACAGCCTTCAGCTATTGATTTTAATTCAGTTAAAAACCGAAAGTTACAGAATTGAATAGAGTGAAAAAATTTAATTTCTATCGCGCATACGACTTTTTTTGTAAATACGTTTCATTTTCGTAAAAGTTATTGCATACACACTGATGGCACGGCTGTCATTACAAACGTGCCTAAAAAAATGGTGTCAAGATATCAGAAATCAAATGATATCAGACAATATTTCCACTAAAGCGCCATCAAGCGGCCCATTTTTTGACTATATTTCTTACTATGTATCTAATACATATCGCATATTTTAACTAAATCGGTGCAAATATACGGGTTTTCAAAATATCTCGACCCGGCGCCACATAGCAGACAATATTTTGCAAAAATATTCCTGCATATGCAGCCAATATATAATACATATGTATGTACATTGAACAAATAAATCAGATTGGGCCATAACTAAAATATATCTATGTAACACTTTTAAATTCTGACTATAGAGATCTACCTCTGGAAATGCCCATATAAAATAAACCTAGACCACCCCTATAAAATTGAGGGAAATGCTTTTTGTTGAAAAATGCAAAAATATTATATAAATCGGAGATGCCCTTATTTCTGGTGGTATTACCGACCTCTGGTTTCCACCGGAAGTGGGTTAAACCGACCGGAAGTAATTTTTTTTTCAAATTAGACATATGTACATGTTTTTAATACAAATTCGGATTCTGAGGATAATAAGATTATAGTTTAAAAAACTAAAACCTCCCTATTATAATTGCCATTCGTACTGTCATCAGGTATGTAACTTGAGAATAGAAATCGCTGCATCTTTTAGGCGCATCAATATTACATAGTTACATCCCGAGCTAATAAAAGGAAGGTAAAAATAATAATAATAAAAATACGTAACTTTTGTCTGAAATGACCATCGAACTTCAACACGTGGACTTATTAACAGGTATATTCTGCACGTTACCGAATATTATGTAACCGGAAAATTTTATTAACAAAAAATGTTACCAGTTCTGTCACCGCGATCCTAGGTACGTTGGTAATGCAGTTAAAATATTTAGCAATTCAGCTATGAAGAATTGCGGAAATTCTGACATTTCGTATTTCACGGGGCAATACTTTTTAACCAGCTTATGGGATGGTTACAAGAGTACACAGAATGCGAAAAGAGTTAAAAAATTGACAGGAATTTTATTTACCGGTTAAAAAATTTTTATTACCAGCGCATAATAGACCTGTAAATGAGTGAAAATGTTTTTATTGAAAAGTGAAGAAATACGAATTACCATGCTGGCGCTGCTCTATCTTTGGGTCGTATTATCTTCTTCGTGGGTTAGACGGACCGAAAGTACATCATTTTAACCCGGAGTCCATTCCAAAAAAAAGTTTCCGAAAAAAGTTATGTATTTTTGTCTGCAGAATCCGAATCTGACAGAAAAACATGTACATATGTCCTATTTAAAAAAAAGAGCTTCCGGTCAGTTTTTTTCCGTGCAAGAAAGTCGGTAATACGACCAAAATATAGAGCACCCTCAACTTGTTAATTCATATTTTTTTCGTTTTCCAATGAAAAAATGTTCACCCATTTAAGCAGTTCAGGACCAGATGAAGTTCGAAGGACATTTAGAAGTTGAAAAGGGCTTTTCCGAGAAAAAAGTAGCGAAACCATGTACGTTTAATTAAAAAAAATACTTCCGGTTTAAACCGCAAGTCGGTAATACCACAAAAAGATAGATCATCCCCGACTTGGTATGTCATGTTTTTGCGTTATTCAATGAAAAATATTCCCTCCAATTTAAGAGGGTGGACAGGTGGTCTAGGACACCCTGTATGCACATGAAATCATGTACATCCTTTCAAACCGTTACTATGCAGTCCATTTGAAGCGCATAACGCAAAGATTAAAATTCATAGAGTCGAAATTGTGGCCGATATGATTTTCCCTCCCCTAAATCTCCCAAATACCGCACTGTTCGCCGTAGTAACGACTACAAGTTAGTTCCTTATGTTTGAGCTCTCGCGTCAACTTGACACTTCATTATTGCTATTATTTCGCAGGAGTTGTTCTCACCGTATAGCGATAACTAAACACATTTCTCTTAGCACCCGCACAAGGGACCAATTATTCTGAGGACTGAAGTCAACCTTACAGTTCCGGATAGGACGAGAAGGTCTGTAACATTTCGGTTACGCCCCAACCTTGGAACATTTTATACAAAGTTTTATTTGCGGTATTGAGACTGTGCTCTAACAATCGTCTTTGAAAGGGTTTTGCGTATTAACCGCAATTCCCATATCTAATTGTACAGTGTCCAATAGCGTTGGCCGAAAAACTGCTTTTTTTAGAATTGTGATTGGTAATAGGAAAAATATTTGTCATAATGCTCTAAAAACAATCTGTGTGAAAGATGACAACTTCGGGTCAACATCCTAGGCTGGCCCAAGTACATCAAAGTTCAAGTGCTGAAAACATGTTTTCTTAGCTTACTTCGATTCTATACAAAAAAGGTCCATATACCAAATTTTGTAGGACTAATACTTTCGAAGATACTTGCAATTTCAGTAACAAAAATTTATATTCAACAATTTTTATTGAGCTTGAGGCCGTTTTTGATGAAAAACTTATTGTGGAAAAGTAACAATTATTTGAAAAAATGGTAGAAGTGATAGCTATTTCGGAAATCGCCACATTTCCTCATCAGACTTCTTTCGCCACATGATCAAGTTTAAATAGCACTGGAATAGCTGCGTTTGATTGTAGTTGGCTTAACAAATGAAATAGTGGAATTCACAAGGCGAACTTAGCACAGTGCGTAGGCAACTGGCTGAGTCAGTGGGATCGTCGGTTCGAATCCTACTGAGAGAAATCTGATGAGGAAATGTGGTGATTTCCGAAATAGCTATCACTTCTACCATTTTTTCAAATAACTGTTGCTTTTCCACAATAAGTTTTTCACTAAAAACGGCCTCAAGCTCAATAAAAATTGTTGAACATAATTGTTGTAAGGCCATAAAATAACAAAAAAACAAAAAAAATGTATTAATTAATGTATTTATTTTTTTGAGCACATTGAACTTTGATAGACATGGGCGAGCATAAGATATTGACCAAAAATTGTCATCTTACACACAGATTGGTTTTAGATTATAATGAACCATATTTTTGCTATTACCAACCTAAAATTTTAAGAAGCTTCTAGCTATTTCCAAAGTACGAAAGTTTGAAATAAACGAATCATAACAAAGCAGTGTTTGACGCATTTCGGTAAACGGAGCAGGAGGAAAAAAACTTTGAATCTCCGAATGCAAATATTAGGCATGTCGATTGCTTATCAGCTTGATGGATTAAATTCCTTTGGCCATGACTCGACTCAGAGTTTTGTGATGCGTTTACGCAAACTTTTATTTTCCAAATCACGCTTATTATGCGAGGCACAACTCTTGAAGTACTTTACATTTCTCCTAAACTTTACAAAAATTCCCTTAATTCACAAAACTACGTTCCTCAAACACTCCTTACCCGTTTCTGGTTTTTGAACATATATATATAGGCATTCAGTATGCAAGATTTAAATTATACGAAAGTGAAACGATTTTTTTTAATGCCATCAGAGCTGGATAATGCTCTCTGCTGAGGTATTTGTGTTTAGCGATAATTTTGCTGCTCTGAGTAAAAATATATTTATTAATATTGCTTGAAGTATTCGCGTTATAGTTTGCGCAAATTGATTTGCACGGTTACGGACATATCCGACTTACCCTTCGACCAAGTATTTGATTTATCGCCGCTGACTCTTTCAATGTACACTCGGCGACCACCTTGGCGCGCATTTCCTTCATGTAGAGCATGAACGCATTAAGTGGCTTTTTGATATGCGGTTTCTTCTTCTCGTTAGAGTTGTCTTTGCACTCGTTTCCCTGGGGATTGCCTGCGGATATTTTCGTATCCAAGTTTCTGAAAACGAAAAAAAGCATAAACAACATAAAATTAGTTGGAAATTTTCGACGAAGTATGAGCGGTAATACATCTAATCTAGTCTTACAGGTCTATTCTGCGCTGGTAACATAAATTTTGTAACCGGTAATTAAAGTGTCTGTAAATTTTTAAACCTTTTTCGCATTCTGTGCTCTCTTGTGATCGGTAAATTTGGTTAACATCTCATAAGCTGGTAACAAAATATTGCCTTGTGAAATATGCAATACAGGAATTTCCACAAATCTTCATAGCTGAATTGCTGAATATTTTCACTGCATTACCAACGTACCTAGAATCGCGGTGGCAAGAAGTGGTAACATTTTTTGGTAATAAAATATTCCGGTCACAAAATCTTCGGTAACGTGCAGAATAGACTTGTTATAAAGCATATCAACACTGCGGCTGTGTTGTCGATAACGTTGGATTGTGCTAGGAAGGGTTTCCAGTTCACTCGGAATGGGGTTCAGATCTCGAAATTGTGTATGCGAAAAGTGAGTAGCATTTGATAAGGCAATGTTTGGTTCTTTTTATGGGATGGCTGACCTTCTGCTCGAAAAAGTGGTCGAGACAGGATTTTCGGCTGCTGAATTTTACGCTTTTTTACGCCAAGGTTGTACTTATTATAGTATATTGTTTAACTTATTTTCGATGGGTCTCTGAATTACTTCTGAACCTTAGCCGGGTTGTCCTAAAGACTATAACTGGCTACTTGACAGGACACAGCATGTTAAAGTACCATCTTGATAAGAAAGGACTTTTTGAAGGGACGGCTACTGATTTTTTGGACTGGCAGCGAAAGTATGTGCACACGTATTTTAAGTAAGTCATTATAAGTAATTCATAGACTCACAACCCTTGAAAAGCGATTAGCGTTTCTATCCAGATTCTCAAATGTGACACCCTCCAAATTGTTTGCAGTGTAGCAGCGTTAACATTTCTACGAAGCAACGTAAGTTCAGAGAAGGTAACGAATACCTGATGGAGCAGCCCTAATACTTGTAAATAGCCCAGCAGTGAAATTCTGACAATCGCTACGCTAAATTTTCGCCGCTAAAATTCTCGAAATGAAAAGCAGTGGGCCTAAAAGTATACAACATGGAAGTGTAACAAATGCAATGCGTAATCAGTCAAATCTGGCAGTGTGGTGAACATGCAACTATATGTTGCGTGTTTTTAGGGTCGCGTGCTATTATTTTAGAGATTTTTGGCGATCAAAATTAGCGATAGCAATTGTTGGAATCCGGCTGCAGATCTTAGGAACACTATGTAATATAGTCGCTTTCGCGTTTCGAGTTCGGCGCGGCGATAGAAGCATGTAGGGTTGTCCCTCCAGTAAAGATAGCAGAAATGGAACGCAAAGACCACATGTCGATAGATGTTCCTTTGATAGATGATCTTAAGGCATGGTTAAGTATGTGTTCTTTTTCCTATGCCTTACCCAGCTTTCCACACGTTACGGCTATATTGGTGCATTTCTTTGCATGATGGAAATCATCGTATCGCCTGTACCAAAGATTGCGATGTGGTAGCGAATTATACAAAACTTATGCTCTTTGCAAAGGTGAAGGTGGTTCTCTATTGAGAAATACACCACTTGAAAACACGCTATCAGCGCATTCCTGTATCTGAAGTAATTCTGTACAGCGGTACCAGAAATGGAACTTACGCTAGGGCGGTGTAGGTTAGGGTTTAAGTCGGTAGCTTTCAAACTTCCTCCACCGAAGTGTAAACTCGAAAAGATTAGTAATAGAAACCTGTTCCGTGGGTTGGCGCATTAGTAACACATTGCTACAAAAAATAATGCAGTAGAAATATCTGGGAGGTGATGTTAATTTTCTTGTAGGTATTGTCTTAAACCGGTGAAAACTGAAAATCGGCTGAAAGCCAACTAATTTACAGCCATCTAAGTGCGAAAGGGTACGAAAGACTGGTTTTTTTTTAACCGTAACTCGAGATTTTGGGAACGTTTGGAATGTTTTATATTTCGATTCTTTTTTTACTAGATAAGACCTACAAGAAAAATAATATCACTTCGCAGACATTTTGGAATGTCGTACGGTGTAATTTTTCTCCGCTATAAAAAAGGACAACTCTGAAAAAGTTAAACGAAAAATTACGTTTTCTTGACTTTTCCGCTGATGCTTAAGTCATAAGGTCCATCTGGCGCAGTTGTTGTGTTCGCTGCTGCAGCGGCGGCAGCGGCGGCTGATATACCGACGGTGGCATTCATGACAGCCGCTGCGGTGAGTGCGTTGAAGCGCGCTTTGAAGATATCGGTGAAGGCTCGCTCCTGAAGAGCCACAACCGTGGCTGCAGCTGTTGCACTCACGTTTGGCGTATTGCTCCCTGCAGCATGTATGCCATATGCACTGTTGCTGCAGTTGTTGTTATTTTTGCTGTTGTTGGTAACATTAAATTGAGTTTGATGATGATGATGGTCCTGCTGCTGTTGGAGGGCATACTGTTGTTGCTGGTGGCTATTTTGGTGGCCAAGGGTCGCTTCGGACGCTGCCGACGTTGCTGCCGTCGCCTCTGTAGAATGATTCGTCAGTCCGCCTTCACGCTGCTTGCCGGATTTCTCATCCTGATAGTTTTTGCCGTCATTGGCTCCATCTCTGACAGAGGTACTACTGCCACTGCCGTTACTGTTGTAGCACTGTCTGAGATTATGCGAATTTTGTTGTTCATAGAAGCGGTAAGTTTTAGCGACGTGTTTGGGCGCTGCAGGTTGGGTACCAATTGTTTCAATGCGGTGCGCATAGTTTGATTTGCGCCGACTTTTTGCAGCCGCCGCTAAACCATTCGCAGTCAGCGGAGGAGTAGGCGTAGTGGTTGGCGTCGACGACGATACCAGCGTCGGTGTGGAAGTAGATGTATTCACGGGCATTGGTGAGATAACAGGCGTTGGCGCCGTCATACCCAACACCAGCGAAGATAAACTTTTTTCAGCGTTGCCTTTAGTGGCATCGGCAACATTACAGGAATCAAATTGTGATGTTAAGTCAGAGTTTGAGTTTCCTGCTGCGGGAGCAGTCCCAAAGGAGTGTTGAGACTGTCCACCAACTGCTGAATTTAACTCTACATTGCGGTTTTGTGGTTGTGCACAGTTTCGTGACGTGGAGAGAGAATTCACGGAAAAGCCGGAATCGCGCATGCTCGCTTGTACGGTCAGAGCAGCACATTCCAGGATTATTTCGGCAACGGTTAAGGAGCTGTCATTCACGCAATGGCCGCGATTTTCTGGGTGCCAAAAACAGATGGGTGACGCTGGTGTGAGACATCTGCTGACATCCCCGCCAGTTGGTATAGAATTTCCGCTCATTTCCTCGCGCCATTTTCCACTACTGTACCCGAGCTCTTTGTCCTCTTTGTGGTTGGCACCGCAAGTGAGACCTTCATCAAGTTCCAAATTGTTTTTGCTTTCTGTATCATGGTTGTCTTTCTCAACTGCGCTGTCATTGCCATTATTTTTACATAAGGCTTGGACGTATTGCTCTATCTCGTTCTCTATTTCCACCAACGAGCGTCCTAACTTCATGCTAGACTGTTTGTTATATTCCTTGACATCTGCTGCCTCCCTGTTAGCCCCTTCGCAGTCTTCCTTGTGCATAAGCTCAGTCTTGATGTACGCGAGGGGCGGAAGTGGATGCGTTTCGACGGCTGCTGACATTGCTGCTACTGCCGCTGATGTTGCAATCTTATGAGCCACAAAACTGGACGGGCATTGCCGCTGCTGCGTTAGCGCTTCGGATGATTGCAGTCGACACATGCCGCGTTCATAATAAAGCTTTGCACTGGCGCATTGTCGCTTTAATTGGTTGATCTGTACTTGAATGCAGTCGATTAGTTGTTTCCGTTGCTGCATATTCACTTTGACTAGCGGAACGACGCGTGACAATCTCTTGACAGAAGTCGAGGAGTTCGGCGCCGTCAGCTCAACAAAGTTCATGCTGTGTGCTAGAAACTGATCGAGGTGCATTTGAGCTTGTGATAGCGACACTTCTTGAGCAGACAGTAACTCTTCGAAGCTTAGTTTTGTGCTGGTAGTGGCGGTAGCTATATTTGAGGTGGCCGCAGTGTGATTGTAGGGATCATCACTACCGATTTCGGAGAGTAAATCTGACGACGCTGAGTGATGATTTGGTCTGTTTTCTGGCTGATCACAGTTCATCGTGTGATGGGAAGCGTTACTATTGTTGTTTCCCTCGCTGTTATTCGCTACATGATGCCGATTGTTGTTGCTATAGTGCGTCCTCGGTAGCGCACTGTCTGGTTGGAAGCCCATTTTCGGGCCGCTTGACGCATAGTCTATAAAGTGTAGCTCGCGTTCACGTAAGTGTTCTGACAGCGCTGGCGCATTGGCGCGCAGCAGCCGTGAGCATAAAATTTGCGTGGCTAACAACTGGCTCGATCTCTGTTGCTTTTGCAATTGTTCATCAGACGCTTGTGGTTCGTGCAACGTTTGTTGAAGAGGCTGCTTTAAATATATAGGCTCTTTGCATTCGCTGCCTGAGATGCCGCCATACAGAAATGGCGGAAGATTGTAGGAAGGGTTCTGTGCATGTGCATTGCTACTAGTGTTGATGATCGGTAGTAGCGGCAGCGGTAGTGGCAGAGACAAAGACAAAGGGATCGGCAGTTGTAAGGGTATCGGTAGTGGTTGCACATGAAGATGCGTCTGCGGCTGTTCTGCTACTGACGTTTTGTTTTTGTTGAAGGCGGTATCCATTTGCAAATTCGGCGCCACACCAGACGCGTTAGCTGCGGCCGAGAGTACCTGCAGTTGCTGATGGTCGTGGTGCCTCAAAAGTATTTCCGTTAATAACGTAAATGCTGCACTGGACACCGATGGTTGTTTCGAGAGCTCAGTTGTTGGCTCTATGGGTCGCAAATAACTGCTTAATGAAGCCGAAATTTCACTAGATGTTACAGGATTTTCCAAACGGATCCCACCGTCTGATCCGCCGTTATTGCGCTCAAGCCTGCTATTTGTTTCGTTACTAACTGTGTCATCTGCAGGCGTGGTCGAAAAAGAGAGATTCACGTCTGATAGGACTCGAGGGGCGTCCGCGTTCCGACGCTGGTAACATTTTGGAATAACTAAATCTGTGGAGAAAAGCCGGGCCAGCAGTTGACGATCTTTGTCCATTATCGCTGCTGTTGCGGGCTCCATAAAATCATTCGAAGGTAAGTGCTGACTAACAGAGTCATCGGCCTGATTACTATTCGTCTGCGGGATCGAGCAGCCATAGGGAGTTCGCGTTTGCGTCAAACGTGGGTCTGAACATGGATCTGATAATGAGGGCAAATGGTTTAGCATACCCTTCGGTAGGGCATCATTCAAAAGTTCGCTGTGCAAATACGTGTTTGTGTTCGAAGGAATCTTATCATCGTCGGCAGCTTCAGTTTCACCAACGCTTTTCACATCAAGGTTAGGGCTTTCGAGAGGGGATGCTGCGGACTCAGATTCATTGCGTGTTTTCATTTCAGTGTGCGCCGCCTTTCGCTGCTGTTGCTTAATGTGCTGCTTAGTAGGCATTAATTCAGCGGCGAACTCCCGTTTATGGGGATATTTCTCCAATATTCTGCCATATTGCACGAACGGCTGGTCACGTACCTCTGTCGCATCCGAGGCAAAAGTGAGGCTGTTATCAACAAACTCCGATTTATTTGTACCCGCAGCGCTTCCACAACCATACAAGCCGGGCGCCACTGGTGACACCACTTCCGCGATCGAAGTTCCAACCGGGGACAGCGGCAGTGAGAGTGTTGTTGCAACATTATGGTTAGTGTTCATGTCATTTAAAGCAGTGTGCAGTGCTCGAACGACGGCTCCATTCTGAAACGAAATCAGTGCCTGATCAGTCGAATGGACAGATTGGTTGTCGACTGTATCACAATTTCCACCGCTGCCGTTACTGGCATTTTTCCTGCCATCAGAAGTTGGCGAAACGTAGTCGGCCCCACCAATATTCAATGTCTTCACTGCGGTCATCGGCGCAGTATCAGCGTAAAGCTGCTCCTGATCTAAAGGCGCCGGACTAGCAGGCGAAGAAACATTGGACAGCGTACCTGTTAACGTGTTGGTTGTAGCGGCCGGGGTGACGGAAATTGACACGTGCAGTGATGAAGGTGATGGCGCCGGCGAGGGAGGTAACACGGCACCTGCCGTATGAGATGTTGTTTTGAGTCGTTTTTCTAAAGTCAATTGCTGCTGCAATAGGGACGACATCCGGTTAGCCAAATGCGCGTTTCACCACCGAAATGCCCTTTGTTGCGTATGAATTTGCTTAGGTTTATACTTCACTTAAACATTCTTTATACCTTTTTAGCTTTTTTAAACTTTGTGAACTCTTCGCTTTTGCTGAACGGAATGAGTTGACCATTATTACTTTCATTGTACGCACTGCTGGTATGTAAGTACTTGACTGGATCCGACTTTACTGTCACTGTTTTTTTTTGTTTTGTTTTGTTAGTCGCTTTGGCTTTTGTTGATTATACGTGTTCGTTTGTACAAGAGAGTGTCTGCGAAGCAACAATTTACCATGAGATTTTCAATAAATATATCTATAATTCTTAGCGCACGTATTTACAGCATTAACAAACAAGTGCACACAATTTATAATTTTGAAATTTCCATTAAGAAAAAATACACAAAAAAGCACCAGAACAACACGGCATTTACTCGTTTAGCCGAAGATAGTTTGAATTTGAGTTTTGTTGGTGTAAATCGTTTAATAGTGTTCATTTCACAAATCTCTCATACACACACACACTCGCAAGCATATACGGCCAAGACCCGGTAGGAAATATTCCACCAATCCTAACTATGAGCTGAACAATAATTGTATGCCTTGAGTGGGATTTCGTCCACAGTACGACGTTCCCATAGAAACTGCGGCCAAAAGTGGTAGCAATTCTAAATGTCGAAATACTACCACGCCCTCAGCTCTTGTGGGCGTAAATAGTAATAACGATGCAGATAATGTACCAAAAGCTAAAAAAATATTTAGGTAGGTACCAGGTACCAGATATCAAACCCCTCTCCTCGTCAATATATAGCATTGATCAGACTAAACTAAAATCGTGGGGTATTATTTTTAGCCACCATAACGCCACACATTCCACGATACGATGCGAAATCTTTACTTGGTGCGGGATTCATGCTTCATTGCCAAAAGTAAATATTATTACGCTACAATAATAATAACAAAGTGTAGTTTAGGAAGTGCGTGCCTAGAACTATAAAAGAATTCCAAATAATTTATAGAATTCATAATAACAACCACCCTGTGAAGTTGAAATAGCGGCGAATCAGCCACACCTGATGTGAGTAGGTTGAAAGCCTATAACTTTTACCGCTTAAATTATGTTCCTTTAAGGTTGAAACTATAAAATTGCAACTTAAATTTAACTAAGTGCCTCTTAAAATTTACTTCTAGTAGTCTAGTTAGAAAAAAACATTGTTGTAAATACATATATATGTGAAATGTAAAGATATATCGATTTTCTTTACAATATATCAAAAATAAAATTTTGAATATTCAGTAATCAAGTTTATCAACTTAGCAAGTATTATAATTTTTATCTTCCACCTTAATTTTCGGAAAGATCGGTCTGTTTGAAAACTCAGGGCCCGATGCTCCACCGCCGTGTGAATAACTTGATTATGTACTAACTTAAAATAGTTTCGACTTAAGTGTTAATAGCTTTAAGATGCTTTTTACTCCCCTATAAAAAATGGACATAGCAATATTGCACTCTAAACTAGCTAGGGTTATACTTGTACATATGTATACTTTTTTATTTTCGTTTGTAAATTTAAAAAATAAAAATCTTTTTGAGGTTTAAATTTCATAAAAATTTAAGCTTAATTTTGGATTGTTTTTAAATGCCAATTAACTTTCGTTGGTTTTCAGATCACCCTTTTGTTTACGTTTTGTGCTGAATAGTTGCATCTCCCATATTTAAATAGCTAATATTGGTAATTTAAGTACAGTTTAAATATGTGATCTGAAAATGAATTATTGAAGTTAATCAACAATCTCTACTTACATCAATAGCATCTGAAATTGGGACTGAATCTATCGAAGCGAGAAATCTTATCTTATTATATTAAACGAGCAATTCTTGTATATATATATGTATATATATCCATAGGGTTCTCGGAAACGGGTCTAACGATTTTGATGAAATTTTGTACACAGATAATGTTTTGGATTCTAAGGTTATCTGAATAGGAATTATTTCCGAGAAGACTCATATAAGGTTGCCTATTATTAAGGTTACCTATTTGAAATTAGTTACAAATTGATTAAAACATCATAATATGGGTATCAAATGGTATGTATTTTAAAGATATTTAATTCAAAAATATTTTTAATAAGGTTGCCACCTATTTTGATAATAGTGTAAGGTTGCCACTTATTTTCGATTCTACACAATTTATCTAAAACATCGCAATATGGATATCAAATGAAAGGTATTGTTGGGAACTTTGGTCAGAAATCAGGGTTGCTACGCTTCATAATTTCAATCAAATTCTTTTTATGTATACATAGTACATATACGATCAAGATATGTACCATTCATTCCAGCGTATTTCGGAATAGGGTTTCCACTTAATTTTTTTGTTTATTTCTATAATATTTTTTAAAGCTATGCAAATCTTGAAAATTTTAAAAAGTATATGCACTCCGGGCAAAGCTCGGTCAACCTGGTACTGAATATTATGTTCTAGGTTTTGGATGCATGAGAAATCATATTGGAATCATTTACTGGGCTTAGGGCTAGTTTTTCAGTGCCAGTTTAAACTTAGTTTAAGTAAACTGAGTTTAAATTGAACAGCAGTTTAAACCGGCCACGGCCGTGCACTGAAAAACTGGCCCTTAAAGGTAGACCGTTCCAGTTAATTCGGTGGCAAGCCGTTTCTTGCAGGTATATGGCACGGGTATTTTTATATACAGATATATATGTATATGTAAGTAAATAGTGTTCCGATTCGTATGGCCCCACATGCATGCAAACATGCGAAGCTGCAGGGAACGTCATGCAAAGCTGACAAGCAAAGTGATTTAGGGCCGTTTTCTCAAGTAGGTTTTAAAATACTTGCGTTCCCCAATTTTTCTGGGTTAAAACCTGTAAAACTGTCAAAAGGCAAAAGAAGCCAGAGAACCGAGTACGGGAACGCTTCCTGGTAAATTCCTGTTAATTCTTGCAACGTTTTGCGAGTTAGGGAACGCAACTAATTTATCTGTCCTAGTAGCGGTTTCAACGTGACAGGATTTTGTTTGCAACCCCGCAGAACCTAAGTGACCATAGTCAATAATTTATCACTAGGCCAACGCTCGCTGTCGTTTGTAAGAGTGTGCCAGAAATGAGCCACATATATGTATATATCGTCGTTTAAAGTACAAAACCGCGTATCAGGAAAATGCAAAACCTCGGTTGTGAGGTTGCCAAAATTTTATAGGAGAGAGAAAACTTTTTCAAAACGGTTCTCTTTTTTATCCCTGATTATCTTTTCTTCTTATGGTTAAGTATCGATATAGTAGTATGAACGGATAAGGGCTCGATGCCAGGAGCTTCCGGTGAGTAAATATCTTTTTTGGCGCAAATGTCAGTTACGAGGTTTTACAGAACCACGATCCGCCGTTTTGTACTTTAAATGACGATATGTAAGTATGTCTATGTATCTTGCTGGTAAAGATTAAAAACTGTTTTCTAAACTTATTTCTGAAATTTAATTACTCATATGCGCGTATACATATGCACATACATATGTATGTATGTATATCGTCGTTTAAAGTACAAAACCCCGTATCAACAAAACGCAAAACCGCGTATCAAGATAATGCAAAACTGCGTATGTGAGGTTGCATAAATTATTTTCTAGAGAGTAAAGACACTCATATTTCAAGATGATTCTCTTTTTTATAAAGCAATCGCATTTTTGGCTAGTATATTTCAGGACGAATGGATAGGGATTGGGCCAAGAGCAAATCCGATTTTTGGCAGCAAATGTCAGTTACGCGGTTTTGCAGGATGACTAAACGCCGTTTTGTACTCTAAACGACGATATGTATCGTTATAAATTCTTCCATGAATAGATATCTGAAACAATGAATGATTACAGTTTTCGCAGATGCATATTCATATATTTTGTATGTACCTATATACATACGCCGAAGAGCATTTTGTGCCCTTGCAACACAATTGATTACGGAGTTATGTTGATAGTTTGGTGCTCCACTTTCTCGCAACAACTACCCTCTAGGAAATGTCGACATGTATGGATACGGTGACCATTCGTACCGATTTTGAGAAAATATCTCCCTGAATATTTTTTAAAAGTCGGGACGTATAAATCCCGATTTTAAGTGTTTTATTTATTAATTTAATAAGAGTCTCCCTGTACTCTGGCCCAAAAACCCATTTTTCGGACAAACGTAGCAGTACTTTCGTTATCACAAAGAACATTGCATATGATTATGGTACAATTATTACAAGTATTGTCTTCCCAGAGAGCGCATATTCCGATCTGCCTTAGTTACAAAACAACTGTGTTGCCCCCAATAACAGGCTCACGATAAGAGAAAATAGGGACATTTCCAAACGCCATATATACGTGTGTACTTTTCTTAAACAAACCGCTTTGCATAAAACTTAGTTAAATGGCAAATACCGAAAATAAACGCTTCCTTAGTAAAATTCAAATTTTTCTATTTTAATTGTTTTTTTTTTTGTTTTAGATGAAATTTTACCACGTATACGTAATTTATATAAAAACGCCTTTCAGTAACTGATTCAACCATATCAACCATATCTTGGGCTCCAACTCATGAACATTACTTCGTTTATTTATTGTACAAGTATTTTTTTAACGTGAGCCACATTTTTTCAACACAAAGAAAATAGAAAATTATAAAAATAAAATTAACGGAAAACAAAAAGCAAAGCCAACTAGAATTAAAGAAATCAACATGGAATCGCGTCAAAATGAAAACAAGGGAGCACGAATTTCGCGAGGAAAACTCTCTGGGAAGACAATACCTGTGAATAATTATATCGTGGCATATGGTCAAGAATGAAAGAATACGAGATTGCGCATTCCTGTGCGACGTCACGATCGCAACGAATAGGGGAGATGAAGGAGAGTATTGTGTTCATCTACAGAAAATTGAAGATTGAACAAACATTTAATAGTATGCCTAGAAAGAGCGCAATAAAGTAGGATTTTTGTTCACAGAAATCTGGTCGCCGTATCTATGGACCTTCAGAACATATGCAAAGTTGCAAGATACAAAATTTGCAGCGATAACCTAAAAGTAAAACCTAATCGCTTACCGTTATCAAACTTTTATTAAAATATGAATATTTTTAACATTTTTTATTTAGAGGATGAACCTGCACACATTATGAACGCCCTAGGACCTTGGTTTGATCCAGGGATGGGTGTTATCAGGAAAATGAATAATTGAATAAAAAATAAATAAGAATAAGTTTTCATTTATCATTCCAACAATTTTGAATGACGAATAAATTTTTATTCTTCATTCAAGCACTTTTG